AAACAATGCAACCAATCAAACATTAATCAATCAAGCAATTCAAATTTCCAATTCCATTCTTGAATTATTAGTGACAAACAACATTTAGTGTTGGATCCTTTAAACTAGCTCAGTATATAAACACCTTAAGTGCATAAGGCACCTTAAATCCTCAACCTCGTCTTATAAGACTTCAATTCTCCCTTTACACATTCCATTTCAATCATCGTGAACGAGTAATAAAAATAATTCAATCCCACAGGTCCATGTACCTTTGCCTCCTAGTTCATCTTGCAAGTTAATGCATATAGAATACTCACAAGATAAATCAATATACATAAACTTCCACACGACAACATTTCATACACAATCAAGAATAACCACCAATGAGATTTGTTACCAAACAATTTCAATCAACCACAAGTTCCCTAACATGATTCTGAGTTTTCCAAATCCCTAAACATGCTCCTAAAGTCAAGGTTTTTCGTATCCTTGTACGTACCTTGAGTAAACGAATTGGTAAATCACTTTTCCAACTAAAAATCACCTTCTATGAGGTCCTCTCCTAAACTAAACAACAAAATCTCAATCAATACTAAAAAAACCAAATTTACAGCAATACTAACTTACTTTAAGACCTTTAAAATCCAATTAGACAACACTTTTAAATCTTCCCTTTGATTAAAATCAAAAACTTATATATAGTTCTTTAAGTTTCCTTCATAAAAACCTTAAAATACACATTTATTCATAGAATTATAGCAAGTTTACAACTTTATAAAAATCTGAAAATTAATTGTTGAAATTAGACTTTAAAGTTCAAAGCTTTATAATCATAAAATACTCACAACCATTGTTATATGAGATAGGAAACATAATAATATGATATTAATACAATTTAAACCCAAAATTAAAACTTTAATAAATCTGAATTTTCTTTATAGTTAAAATAATTAAGCTTTAACATAATTTAAACATAATATAGTCAAATAACTTAATCAACACAATTATCAACCCTAAACCCATAAGAATCAAAACTTTAAATCAATATCTTTTACTTAAGAAAATATGAAAAATCTATTCAACAATTTAACATCAAGAAACACATAAATTTATAGTCTTTAGAGCGAATAAACACTATTAAACAATACTATCAACAATTTAAGACCAAAACTAATAAAGATCAAAGCTTGGAATAAGCTAAAAAAAAGAGAAAGAAAGAAGGAAGAAAAGAGGGAAGAAGAGGGGCGAACTGTTGGCTGACGGTATCCTGGGCGGCAGTGGTCGGCGCGACGGTGGTCTAAGCGGCGGTCTGGGCGTACAACAGGTGGCTCGAATTTAATTTTTTGTGAAGTCATGAAAATAGGGGAAGCAAAATGGATGTAGTAGCAGCAATATTATAAGGGAGGAGGGAGTGTTATACGTGAGTTTTTGGTGGGGGAAATAAGGAGTAAGTTTGACGCAAATTTTAAGGTGCACCACGTCAATAATTTGAACATTTAGTTTAAATACTTTAACAATCGCAAATTTTTAACTAAATGAAACATCAAGTAAAAATATATTCTCTCCCTTCTCTTTTCCCCCTCTCACACTTTTCTGATTTCTAATTTCTCTCTCCTCTACTTTTCTCTCTATTTTCTCTTTCCTTTATTTTTCTCTCTTTTGAATTTGTTCATCATTTTATTTTTGATTGAAATCATTCATCACCATTATTGATCACCATAAATTGAATTCCTTCATCACCATTGTTGATCACCATAGATTAAATTCAAATTTCGTTTTCTTCAACTTTCGATTTGAAACTTTGTTAATGGAGTTTCTACATTGACGAGGAGAAGGTGGTTAAGACGGCGGAGATGATTATCTTCTGAAAAGATTCCATTATTTTAAATCGCCATGGCTAGGTTTGAGTTTCGGATCGGAATATGTAGCTTTCGTATTGTTTTTATTTTTTTGTTAGTGATATTTGTGTACTTTGTTATGAACAGTTCTATATTTGGTATATTTTGGTATTTTGAACATTTTAAGTAAAAAAATATGAACGTATGATATGTTTCCAATAATTATTTATTTTTACCGTCATATATTTTTGGAAGTATGAACATCTTAATTATAATTCTGAGCTTGTGATACATTACTTATTAACTTTTTTGTTTATTTTAGATCTATGTATTTACAATCATTTAAAAAAATTTGGCATTCTGTACTTTATAATTTATATATCTGAACATTTGATTTTTTGCATATGAAAATTTATTTTGTTTTTGATTTATGTATTTTAAAAACCTTTTTAAGTTTTGTAATTATGAACATATTATGTTAGATATCTGAACATGTATATGTTTTTTATGAACATTTGAGTTAGATCGATATATGAACATTAATTAATTTGGGTTAAGGAATTATGAACCTCAATTGGGATTTAATATGTAAAATGAACATTTAGTATATTTCAAATGAACATTTAGTACATTATAATGAACATAAAAGAATTTATAATGAATTAATATAATATATTTTTCGTTAACAATTATATAAATAAAGTTTAAAACTATAGTTTCTGAAAAAAGAACATATAAAATATGAATATGACAATGTTAGAATTTGAACATATAATTTTTGAAAATAAACATTGAAATTTTCAAATATAATCATTACACTATCTTATAATGAGCATCAATATATATGAATATGACACTACTCGAATTTGAACATTTATTATTTGAAAATGAATATCGAAATTTAAATATGAACAACTATTTTTTGAAAGAAGTTTACTGGCTCGGGATAATTCAATGGTTTTGTAATATAACTGAACATTTATTGCATATAAATTGAACATTACGTTATAAAATATGAACATATAAAATTGGATGTTCATGTTCATTTTTTGTGACGTATTCATATTTTTTTTACAAAATGTTCATTTTTTGTAAAGTGTTCGGCTTTTTTTACTAAATGTTCATATTACAGTCGTGTTGCATCCATTATAGTAATACTCTCAATCATTGTGGCTCATGTCAAGCGATGTAACAAAATTTTACACTGATGTCACTGGCCTACTTTAACCCTCCTCCTTTGTCCAGACTTAGGACTAGCAACGGGAAATCCTCTGGCAGAGTTAATTTTAGAAATTGAGCTAAAAAAGTTTATTGAAAATTAGTGGAAAAATAATTCTGGAAATTGGGCAAGTTTTGATGATTTTAAACCAAATTTATAACCAATATACAATAATTATTAGACACTCGATTTATCTTCAAGCACATTTTATATCACATATATATGAGTGACTACCCCTTCTGTTTTCGAATAAAATTTATATTTGTTTTATGTGTTTTTTTCGCTTGTCCGATTCATTTTTCACGCTTGTTAATACTCCCTCTATCCCAAATTACTTGCAACATTTTGACTGGACATGCTTGTTGATGCACATGATTGATCGTCGATATCTTTTATTATATATTTATAAAAGTTATAAAAGGTTTATATTAAGAAACTATACATTAAAAGAGACTTAACAACATCTTACATGATTACATTGGCTTTCATATAATAGCTAGAAAAGATGGTCAAAGTGAGATGTGTGAATCCCTACCTTATAAAAAGTACAAGATTACTCTTATGAATAGTGTTATGCCAATTATACCCTTCAATATGTGTATTTACATATATACCCTCATTAATATGTACAAATTTTTTAAATAAATAGTGCTTGGACAATTATACCATCTAAAATATTTCCTTACTTATTTGCCCTCATTAATTATAATTACCTCTTTTTTTTTAACTATTAAAAATAATGTGTGGACATTTATACTCCTAAATATTTGTTTATATATTTTCTCTCATTATGCTGTCAATCAATAACTAAATTTGTGATGTAAGGCAAAACCAAAAGAGATTCCGGATATGGCCAGCTATGGCGCGCTCATCGCGGGCTACCCTAATAGTATAAAAAGTCAAAACGTTGCGAGTGATTTGGGACGGAGGGAGTACCGAGTATATATCTTCAACTCAATAAATAAATATTTTAATAATTAAATATTTTCATAGAACTTATTGTGAAGATTCACCCAAAACCCTATATGACTATAATGTTATTCACGTAACGGCCGGTAATGGCAAAAAAAAAGTACACCATCATTTAAAATAAATTAGAATAAAACGATGGTAATAGTTGTTATGCCTAAATTTTCACTACAGGTTCAGATGTCTGCAGGTTGCTAGATTGCAGGTTGCTAGATTGCAGGTTACAGATTGCTACGAGGTCAACGACTAGGTTACCAGAAGTCAAGGGAAGTTAAATGAAGATATTTCCAAGGAATATTCTAAGGAAATCCAAGTTTGGATGAGTCAAGAGAAGTTCCATAAAAACAGGAACCATAAACTCCAACTAACTATTTGCAAAGAACAAGTCAAAGGATAATGGATAAGAGCATGAAGAATGTGGCATGAATCTCGGAGCTGAACGTGGCAACTAACTCCAATTTTCAAGGAATCGTCAAAGAAGCTGTTACAAGACTTCAAAAGGCTCTCCTATTATAAATAGGATGAAAAACCATTGTAAAAAGACAAGATACGAGCCCTAGGCATTATATTAGCAATTAGCAACCAAATTACAGATTCATTCTTGATCAAAAACAACCTGCATTGTACCTGTACTTAATTCTCAAACTAGTAGATTGGTGGACTCAACGTCACCCGCAGTTTTTACCCTTATTCCTGGGGTTTTCTGCGTCATCATCTTGTGTCTCATCTTCCCTTTCCCCTTTGTTCATCTTTCGTAGGTTATTCATCCTCATTCATTGAACCTACATTATCATTTGTATCCTTATTAATCTAGTTGTTGTCCTATTGAACCTGGTCTAAATCTAGCGATCAGATTTTGACCTAAACAATAGTTAAGGGTAATTATCATATTTCATGTCAATATCTTAAAACTAAAATAAACCAAATTAATCAAATATGATCACCTATAAAAAACGAGACAATAAACTAACATAATTTGTTAGTTACATATATTTTAGAATAAATAGGGTATAATAGTTAGGCAACACAACAAGAGAGGCCAGCCAACATAGGCAAAGCCATAAAGCAACTTGAAACTCAAGAAAGAATACAGGAAATCTCAACTCAAAAAAACTAAAGATGCCCTTCATATTAACAACTATAAGTAGAAGACGGTTTTCCTTGCATAATCATACAAACAAACAATAATCCTTCTCTCAACCATTTGTTCCATTGCATAGCATTGTGCATAATTAAGCTTACTTCAAGGAAAAAGAATGGCAATCAAAACCAAGAATTCATCAGCAGCACCTTCTTACATCGATTTCGATCCTTTGTGTGATTTGCACACAGAGGAAGGTCTTGAAACTTTGATCATCAACCTCCCTGGTATAGTTGAATAATTATCTTATTTTTTTTTCCTTTCTTATGTTTTTGTTTTGATAAAGGGAATTTAAGAAGTTATTAATGATTGAGGTAATTATCACAATTTTGTTATTGGCACGTACTTCATCTGTGTCTTACAAAAAAGTCAAAAACAAGAAGAAATTTTAGCGGCGGCGGAGGGAGTAATATTCAACTCAAAATGAAAAATTAAGTGGTTCATTTGTGTCAAAGTTGTCTCGTCATAGTAGTTCAATTGCTCCACTATTCAATTTTTCATGCTTATTGATTGATATACATTCAAGTAATTTTAACGAGATACCATGCACATAGTAGCAAAATATTACTATAAGAGCAATTTGTTCTAGAGAAGTCAAATGGAGCAAGTAATTTGAAACATAGTGCGTTTTTGAGCGTCAACTATTTATAGCAAGAGCATAGACACTCGATCATTTCATACTTTGAATGGAAAAAACTAATTGGATATTTTTTTTCCCTTGTAGACTTTAAGAAAAATCAACTAAAGGTACAAGTTAACAAAGATGGAGTCCTTAGAGTAAGCGGCGAGAGGCCAACAAATGCAGATGGAACAAAGAGGTGCCGATTCATCAAGGACACAAAATTATTAGAGAGTTGTGATGTAAACGGGATTCGAGCTAAGTTCACTGAAGGACGTCTTCATGTTATGATACCAAAGAAAGTTACTCCTACAATTCCTAAAATCATCCAAGAACCACACCCTACAACATCGCCGACTCCTCCTCATCAAGCAGAGGAGGTTACAGAGAATCAAAAGTTGAAACAACCCGAGCCTGCCACGAATTCGGACGACCACAAAACAAAGGATGATAATAATAATAATAATACAAGTGCTGAAAATGATAAAATGGCCGAGCCCGAGACACGTATGACGAGTGATGATCAAGTAAAGGATGATCATCATATGTTTGAGCATGGAAGTATCATGCAAAGGTTGCACTTACAAGGAAGAAAGGTGGCGTTGGGATTTGGTGTCGCTGTTGTTACAATGGTAGCAATTGGAGCTTTTGTGGCTTCTTAATGAAAAAAATATGGGTTATTAATTAAAATTGGATTTTATGTTTTTAATTAAGTTGTATATGGAAGAGTAAAGGATAATCTAAGCTCTTCTTGTTGTGTATTGTTCTGATTTAAAATTTGGGTTAAGGGGATATGTGTACATATGCTCTATAAAGTGTAATGAAATATTAAAGCATGAATAAAGAAATTTGTGATTAAATTATTGATGATAGTTCTTATGAATGAATGATATTATAAAATTTTAGTTGTGATTGATGAGAAAGATATTGTTGGAATGGGACTTGTCATTGGTAAACTAGTTTAGCTACTCAGGTCAGACGACTTTTAAGGGGTGATAAGGGAATTTCCCAACCCATATAAGAACCTAAAACTTGATTTTGAAAATTTGAGGTCATAAGGTGAAAACCTTACAAACTACGTATGTATAGATATACTAATGTATGTTACAAGGGTTATTTTGTCAGTGTTATAGAAGTAACTGTGTTAGCGTTAAAAGGGTTATTCGGTCAGTATTATTAGGGTTACCCAGTCATTTTATAGGAGTTACTTTGTTGTTTTAGAAGCGGTCACACGGTATGATTAGCCACACACAAGACGAGCTAATGTTACTTATGATTAGATTAATTAAGGTCATTAGTTTATATATATTTTATCCAACACCTTTTATATAAATCTGGGTGCACTCCGCACATAGAGGTAGGTGCATTCAAGTAGAGTTGGAAAAAAGTCGTGTCGTGTTCGTGTTTGGACTTGTGTCAATTTCATGTTATTCACAAAATCTATCAAAAACTATGTAAAATTTAGGATAATTGCATAATTTGACCACTTTATCTAAACGGGTCGTGTTTAAGTTGGTTTTGTGTCGTGTCATATCGACTTTGTTTTTTCTCTCAATAACTTCATGTTCGTGTCAAGCCGGTGTTAGAGATTGTCATCTCTATATACATCCAAGGGTAGGGGTGAAACAAATACGGTTTAAAACCGAATCGAACTGCAAATCAAACGAAATTAGTAATGTGGTTCGGTGTTTTTATATATGGTTCAGTTCGATTTAGGAAATTTGAAAACTTTGATTTACGGTTTGGTTTCGGTTTTGGGGCTTGAAACAATATGCCAAAATCATCTTTGGAGGAAGTATCATTTTGATAGTGAAGCGTTACATAGGATTTTGGAAACTTGATTACCACTAATTTGTGGCAAACAGTTTATGTTTTGTTCTTTATTGGTTTACCGACCTATGGTATCTATAGACGTGGAACCAAATAATTTGCCAGAGAATCGCAAGACAAGTGGTGTCTAATTTAAACATTAATAAAAGGGAAGAATGATACTTCTTGGATGGTTGTAAATTGGTCGTGCATCGCTAGGAAAGGCAAAGAGGATCCACTACTTTTAACATTGATATTTTTTGCACCATTATGTTTCTATTGACCTCACCTTTTCCTTCCTGTACACTCTCTTCAACCATGGTCACGTCGACATTGCTATTATTGTACCATAGTCAATAGGGTGTGCATCGTCAGGTTCGGTTATCCATAAGTAATTTTGGATGCTTGTTGTTTTTGGGTTGCACATTTGTCAATCCTAAATTGTATTCAAAACTTTCAAGGTCTGCTAATTAAAGGCTGTTTAGCATCATATTTTGTTTTTAGTAAAAAACCAAAAACAGGAAGTAAGAAAATAGTATTTCTACTTTTCAGTTGTCAGTTTTCAAAATTATTATGATTTTAATAAGTTTGACTTATTTTTAATTCATTATATGACATATATCATATAATTTTGAAAAACAAAAAACCAAAAAACAGAAAACCACGTCGATACCAAATAAACCCTAAGATGTCAGATTCTTCACGATTAGTTATAATCTTGGTTAAATTAACTACCTAATGTTTTAATTAAAATCTATAAATATGCACACACACAAAAATTAAATTAATTAACACGTAGGTGGTGTTTTTTTACCTGAATTTTATATTATCTTGTCTTACCAGTTATGTGAGCCCTTATATTATCTCATCTGACAAATTGATGTCTACAGCAACCTTTATACGTTTTTTTTCCAGTTGGTAAGGAGAAGGGCCTTACCGGGCCGGAACCTCTCATAGGTCCTCCCGGCCCGAGTTTGAAAATTGTTATATACTCAAGGGTGCAAGGTGCACCCAAGTGTATTTTGCTCATTTGATATATTTTTTTGCTCACTTTAAAATCTAAAATGAGTTAAATTATATCAACTAAGCAAAAAACAACTTTGGGTACACTCAGGTGTATATAAAAAGTTCTCGCCCTACACACTTTGGGAGTAGGGGGAAAGGGTAAGAAAATCCCCACCCTAAAGTGCCTCTATTGGGATTTGATCCCCACCCTAAAGTGCCTCTATTGAGATACAAACCTAACCACTAGACCAAGCTATGCTTGGTACACACACCTTTATACATTAGTGAAGATTTTTATATGGCAAGTTTCATCTAACAAGAGTAACTTTATTACGTCATTGTAAAGATATAGGTAACTTTTAAATTATATTGGGGTAACTTTGAATCTTTAAATCATTTTATGCTAATATAATATTAAATTTTTTACAAACACTCGGGTGTAAATAGAGGTAGGTATATTTAAGGATGGTTTATAACTTATTTTAAGATTTGAAAATGGGTAAAAAAAAAAAAAAAAAAATTAATTGAGTAGAAAATATCTTTAGGTTGCTTAAAAAGTACCTTTAGGTGGATCTTGTACCTAGGTGTATATAAATTTTTTTAGCATAATATAGGACAATAGGCATTTACCTGCCTTAATATTAAAAAAAAAATAAAAAAATAAAAAACTTCTTCTGATTTTTTTATTTTTTTAAATATTGTACTACTTGCCTTTTAAGAAAATTTGACAAATATTACACTATATCTATTTTAGAAAAAGAAAAATCTATATTCACACTACAGATACCCAATATACCCTTACTTTTCAACACTAAATTTTTAGTTTAGTTAAATAATCACATGAAATAATTTTGTATTTTTACCATGTTCTCTCATCCTTTTATTCACTACTAAAAATTTGTACCCAACCTCTACGACGCAATAACAAAAATAATGTAGGAAGTATGATTAAAAAGTTATAAAAAAATAAAAAATAAAAAAAATATTTGAGTATAATCTAAGGGGGAAATGTTAAGCACGCGGCATACACGTAGCCCATGTGAAGTAAATTACGAAATCAACGCGTAGTCGCGGATAATCTATCCAACATTATCTTTTCTACTACACATCTCGTACTAAAATAGTTATTATATCGTCCTATCCAAAGTTTACAAGTTGCATAAGAATAAAAAGATATTAAAAATTTCTTAATATAATAAATGAAAAGAGATATTATTTCAACTGAAAAAAGAAAGAGAATCCGTTTTATGAGCCTATAAATACTTACCACCCCAAGATGTAATAATTCATTCATATAAACCATATAATACATACATCATCAAATATCATCCATTATCATAATCTATCATTCAAATCACAAAGAAAAATGGCAGGTTTAATTGAAAAGATAGGAGAGAAACTTCATATGGGAGGTGACAAGAAAGATGAGCATCATAAGAAAGATGATGGTCATCATAGCAAAGATGGTGAGCATAAAGAAGGAGGAATGATGTCTAAGATCCTTGGTCATGGTGATGATCATAAGAAACATGATGGTGATCATCATAAAGATCATGATAAACATGACGGTAAGGATCATAAGAAGGATGATGGTCATGGTGAGAAAAAGAAGAAAAAGAAGGATAAGAAGAAGGAGCATGGTCATGACCATGATGGTAGCAGCAGCAGCGACAGCGACAGCGACTAGATCGTTGCATTGTCATCGTCATCCACTCGTCTTTTAAGGTAGTTTTATTTTAATCTGGTGTTATAATCTGAAGATGGAAATTAAATATAGATTTTATATTCGTGTTGACTTTTTTTATGGGCGTAATAAACTTGGTGATTAATCCGTAAATATGGATTGTTGGTGGAAAAAAAATGAATATGGATTTATTTTCTACTCCGTAATTTTTTATAAGGTGTTTATTATTAATACTCCTTAATCAACACGTCTCATTATCACTCATTAGATCTACTTAAATACAGTAGGAATACATATGGAGTAGCTGACATTTAAAATTTGAAGCATTTTAATCTGCTAGTCCACATTACCATGACTCTATGAGCTATCCGATCTCATTTGATACTACCTCTGTTTTAATGTATGGTTGAACTTTGAATTTCTCATTTTGACTATTGTTTGTGAATCATGAAAAAAAATTACTTGTTGTTAGCTAAGTTAGATCTTGTTATATTAAACTCAATTTGTATTTTGAGAGTGAGGGGTAGCTTAGTTGGTAAGAATTTTCCTCCCGATTTCAAGTGATCTTGGGATCGATTCTCATCCCCGCTCTAATAGCTCATATGAACCCAAAAAAAAAAAAAAAAAAACTCAATTTGCATTTTTTAAATATCAAATAGTATCTTTTACATAATACATACTTTTACACTGACAAGCATAAAACCTAAAAGCGTAATTATGGTATTAATTCTAATATAATCTCAATGTTTTGCAGATCCTATGAAGTATGAGAGAGAATAAATGAAAAGAGCTAGTAGAAGCCGCTATGACATTGTTAGTAGGAAACTTCCTTTTTTTTTTTTTTTTTAATTGTGGATTTTATCCATAAATATGTGTAAAAGCTCTTTCTTTTTTAAAAGAAAAGGGTTTGTTCTTGTAATCTTGTCTATTATTATAATAATATAAATATAATCTTATGTTTGCTTTATTTGAGATTGGTTCGGGGTGTATTTACACACAATTTCTTTGTTTGGCTTATGCAAATAAATTAATATATTGCACCGACTATATCGCACATCGCGGAGATCACAAATTAAAAAGTTGATACAAATTGCTTGGGTTCTTCTGGGGAAGGGAGGGAGTGAGTCGCCACAATTGATTATCCCAATGTCTTAATAATATGATACAACCTGAATTGATCTATTTCGACTTGATTACTAATTCCTTATCCCAATGACTTAATAATATGATACAACCTGAACCGACCTATCTCGACTTGATTACTAATTTCTTGTCCCAATGACTTAATAATATGATACAACCTGAACCGACCTATCTTGACTTGATTACTAATTCCTTATCCCAATAACTTAATAATATGATACAACCTGAGCCGACCTATCTCGACTTGATTACTAATTCCTTATTCCAATGACTTAATAATATGATACAACCTGAACCGACCTATCTCGACTTGATTACTAATTCCATGGACGTGTACTTTTTCTTACTTTGTTTTTTAAAGTGTTACAATTAATTAACATATGAATTTAGGAGGTTCAGCCTATATTTAGTCATCTGATCTTAATTCGATTATTTGATCTGAACTATATATCAAATCAAATATTTCGAATCTTTAATTATACTTGTACTTTAATTCGTAACATAAAAGTTAATTAAATGAGATGTTATGAAATTTGTGTTAATGTATACAACTACACACTTTTCAAATATGAGAGTGAGGGATAGCTAAGTTGGTAAGAGCTTTCCTCCCGATTCTAGGTGATCTTGGGATCGATTCTCATCCCTGCCCTAAGTGGCTCATATGAACCAAAAAAAAACACACACACACACACTTTTCAAATATGAAATTTTGCAAATGCTACTTCTGGTTCAGAATAATTAACGCATTTCTTATCTTTTGATCATTTCAAAATAATTGATACACACTATTAGAAACCACCGTTATTAAATCACATTATCATAGTCATCATGTCCCACTACTTTTTCGCACTTTCAAAAGTCATTTTTTTATAATAATACTCTCTCTACTTTTTCCAATGTTTTAATTTGATCGGTTCATATACATTTATCAATAAAGAATTTTAACGAATCATATTTTTATTTTTTTCATAAGTATTAATTATAAACGTTGATATTTGGGAAACTACACATTGAGATGATTCTAACAAATACTCACATGACTATGTTTAATCTTACACAAAGTATTGGGATGTCTCACCCAATATTTCATATGGCAACAATGTAGGACACGATTTTATTATGTGGCCTGAGTTATCATTTATCTAATTAATTGATCATTGACCTTATAAATATCCTGCGTATTTAATTGATAATTATTTGATGGACGTAATTATCCTTACGGCCTGATTAGGGTTTCCCCTTGGGTGTATATATATAGAGGTCATGAGACAGAGGTGAATACACCAATCTTACGCTTCCCTTTTCCCTCTCTATTCTAGTGAGTCTCATCCTCACTTTAGCCATCATAACAATACACCCTAAACGGGAACTCGATCTACATCAGAATCATGGTCTCATCACTCACTACGTTTTCAGGTTTATCAGGTGCACATAATTTAATCTCTAATTTATATCTCATGTTAAAGGATTGATTAACATGTGGTATCGGAGTGATTGTGTTGATAAATCAATTCTTTCGTTTCCCAAAAAAAAAAAAAAAAAAATTGATCGCTGCTTGGATCAAAATTGGATCGGAATTTTTTTTCTAAACCTAACAAGTTTGTTTAGAGTATTTTTCAATTATCCAATTCGTTGGTACATCACGTTTCTTCCATATCATGATTTCAAAAATCTGAACTCTAACGAAATTGTTTTTTTTTTTTTTTCTAATTCCTTTTATTGTATTACTTTTCCACCATTATCAGGTTTCTAAACAATTTTTTTTTTGGAATGATGACCTGTTTTGTTATAAACTCTTCTGGAAATCATGATATGCTATATATATTTTTTTTATCTCATGTAATCGCTTATCAGTGTTTTTGGAATTAGATGACATTTTCGATTAAAATTCATTAAATTGATTTATTTTGCTTGACTTGAATAATACTTTAGAGTACACTTCTGCCCAAAGGTGATGTGTAACATTTGTAAAATTCTTCAAGTCTAATTCAGCATTGTCACTTAGTCCATATCCTTGAATAGATATTCACATGACATTCGCCTTAAATGCATGATTTTTCACTTCTGTCCAAAGATGATGTGTTATAATTGTGCACTGCGAACTAAATATATATGTGCATTAAAATTTAAATGTCTCACTTCTGCCCAAAGGTGATGTGTTACATTCAAATTGCACATCATCATTTTTTATTATTCATAATACTTAAGTAAGTGGTCATAACCAAAGTGAAAGCCATTTATTTAAGTAGAATTAAATTCAGTCTATTATTTTGGTGTTATAATAGACTTTTATCACAGCTTCATTACAAAAATAATGGTTCTTATCTTCGTCTGCCTTAGTACATTACCCCTTAGATCACCATAAGTTCTTCTTTAATTATGTGTCTTATTTCTCTTATCTAAATCAACTATCAGCCCCAAACATGGGAATTGAAACTTTGAATGGAGCGAACTTTTCTTCTTGGAAGGATTCACTAATGCTGACTCTTGGCATGTTGGATTTTGATTATGCACTGAGAGAGCCTGCTCCCCCTGCTCTCACTGATAAAAGTACTGCTGAAGATAAAATAGTACATGAGAGGTGGGAGAGGTGCAATAGAATGGCTCTTATGCTCATTAAAAACTCCATCAGCATAATCATCAGGGGAGCTATTCCAGATTCATCTAATGCTAACTCGTATCTGGCCTCCGTGGAGGAACAATTCAAAGCAACTTCTAAGGCACATGATAGTACTCTTATTTTGAAGATGGTGACCACGAAATACGACGGGAATAGCGGTATTCGTGAGCGCATCATGATGATGAACGACATGGCCCGTAAACTTAAGGGATTGGACATGGAGATCAGTGAGGGTTTCTTGGTGCACTTCATCATGACTTCTCTTCCCGCATCTTTTGAAGCTTTCAAGGTCAACTACAACACCCAGCAGGTCAAGTGGACGATGAATGAGTTAATTGCTATGTGTGTACAAGAAGAAGAGCGTCTGAAGCTAGACAAACCAGATGTGGCTTACCTCATGACTGCTAATCCAAAGAAGAGAAAGGGAAATGTCGACAAGAAGGAGTTTTCTAAGGGCCAGAAACGTGATGCAAGTACTGCTTCCAGCTCTAAGAACTCCAGAGGGAAGTCTTACTGCAAGTTCTGCCGCAAGGAAGGACATAGACAGAAAGACTGCCAAGGCTTTAAGGAGTGACTGACTAAGAAAGGTAATCATCTTTACATGATACTTGAGTCCTTTAATTTAAATGTTCCAACTAATACATGGTGGTTTGACTCTGGTTCTATGGTTCATGTAACAAACTCACTTCAGGGATTCCTTACAATCCAGAAGCTGGAAAGAAACCGAAGGACACTTAAACTGGGGAATGGAACAGAACTAGCTGTCGAAGCCGTGGGAACCTTAGAATTAATAATGAAAACTGGTTTATGTATTAAACTTTATGATACCTTATATATTCCCGAGATTACTCGGAACTTAGTATCAGGACCAAAGTTAGACATAGACGGTTTTGATGTTTCTCATGGTCATGGCAGACTTACTATTAGTTTAAATTCTCAAGTGTTTGGACGTGGTTATCTGGATGGTGGTCTCTATAAATTAGAACTAGATGATAATTTTTCCAAATCTTTGTTGTCATACAATATCAATCAGACACTAACAAAGAGAAAACGAAAACGAGACTTAGAAACTTCATCCACGTTGTGGCATCAACGCTTAGGCCACATTTCACGAGAACGTTTGTCTAGACTCGTGAAGGATGAAGTGTTACCATCTCTCGATTTCAATGATTTTGGAACATGTGTCAAATTCCTTAAAGGTAAAATGACATCAATGAACAAGAAAGGTGCCACTAGGAGTTCTAATTCATTAGAGCTTATTCACACTGACATTAGTGGTCCTTACACTATCACTGGCATAACTGGACATAATTCATTTATCACTTATATTGGTGATTATTCTCGTTATATGTACTTGTATCTTATTAAGGAAAAATCTGAATCACTTACAACTTTTAAAGATTATAAAACTGAAGTAGAAAAACAACTTGATCGTCAAATAAAAGTTGTAAGATCAGATAGAGGGGGTGAATATTATGGTAGACATACTGATGTGGGTCAAGCTTCTAGTCCATTTTATGAGTTTTGTAAGAGCCAGGGGATCGTGAACCAATACACTATGTCTGGTACTCCTCAGCAGAACGGTGTTGCTGAGAGAAGAAATAGGACCCTAATGAACATGGTACGCAGTATGTTAGCCAACTCAGGTTTACCCCTATTCCTCTAGACCGAGGCCTTAAAAACAGCCGTTCATATACTCAATAGGGTTCCTTATAAAGCTGTCCCTAAAACTCCTTATGAACTCTGGACAGGAAGGAAACCGAGTCTCGGATATATGAAAGTATGGGGTTGTCTCGCCGAAGCTAAAGTTTACAATCCATTCTTAAAGAAACTCGACATGAAAACTACAACTTGTTACTTCATTGGTTATCCTTCTCACTCAAAGGGTTACAGATTTTATTGCCCTTCCCACGTAACTCGCATTGTAGAAACCAAAGATGCTCATTTCCTTGAAGATTTTAAGGTCAGTGGGAGTAGTGAAAATCCTTATGAGGAATTGCAGGAAGTACAAGACGCGGGGGGGAGAGACTTGTCGATTACTTTACCTCAAATTACTCCTCTTGTACATGCCACTCAACTGGACACTGCACCACCTCCTACTCCAAATGTACCTGGAAATGAAGGCACTTCAAATGATCACTCTCAAGACAATGTTGCCAATGCTCAACCTGAAAATATACTCAGGAGGTCTTCTAGGTCTAAAAGGCCCACTAACTTTGATGATTATGTTACCTATCTGACTGAAGCAGAAATGGATGCTGGAAAGTTTACTTATCCTACCTCTTATAATGAAGCCATTTGCAGTGATCAGTCTTCTGAATGGAATAAAGCCATGATTGAAGAGCTTGACTCCATGAAGAAAAATGGTGTTTGGGATTTGGTTGAATTACCCAACGGTGTAAAACCCGTAGGATGTAAATGGGTCTTCAAAACAAAACTAGATCCGAATGGAAACATTGAACGCTACAAAGCGAGATTAGTTGCAAAGGGATACACTCAGAAAGAGGGAATTGACTATCAAGAGACTTTTTCTCCTGTCTCTCGAAAGGATTCCTTAAGGATCATTATGGCCCTTGTAGCTCATTTTGATTTAGAGCTACATCAGATGGATGTCAAAACCGCTTTTCTTAATGGCGATTTGGATGAAGAAGTGTTCATGAAACAGCCCGACGGTTTCAAATCTGAAGGTCAAGAACACCTAGTCTGTAAGCTGAAAAAATCCATATACGGGTTGAAGCAGGCATCACGTCAATGGTACCTAAAGTTGCATCAAGTCTTGAAGTCAGAAGGTTTCCTAAAGAACCAAGTGGATCAATGCACCTATCTGAAGATGAGTGGGAGCAACTTTACTATACTTGTCCTTTACGTAGATGACATTCTATTGGCAAGTAATAGTTTAGACATGTTGCATGAGTCTAAACGCTTACTCTCACGTAATTTTGACATGAAAGATCTCGGAGAGGCTTCTTATGTTATTGGCATCAAAATACACCGAGATAGAGTCAATGGTATTTTGGGATTATCTCAAAAGGCATACATCGAGCGTGTTCTTACACGTTATAACATGCAACATTGCTCTCCTTCTGTAGCTCCAGTAGTTAAGGGAGATGTTTTCGGTTTATTTCAATGTCCAAAAACAGAGGTTGAAAAAGAACAGATGAGAATGATACCTTATGCGTCAGTAGTTGGAAGCCTTATGTATGCACAAGTCTGTACTCGTCCAGATATTGCTTATATTTCTGGAATGTTAGGCCGTTATCAGACTAATCCTGGCCTTGATCATTGGAAAGCAGCCAAGAAAGTTCTTCGATATCTACAAGGGACGAAAGACTATAAACTGACTTACAGAAGAAGTGATAATTTAGAAGTGGTTGGTTATTCTGATTCTGATTTTTCTAAGTGCAAAGATGACAAGAAATCCACTTCAGGGTATATCTTTATGTTAGCTGGTGGACCTGTCTCGTGGAAGAGTCATAAGCAAGAGTTGACTGCAACTTCTACAATGATAGCAGAATACATTGCGGTGTACAACGCAACCTGTCATGGGATGTTGCTTAGAAATCTCATCACTGGACTCAAGGTGGTTAATTCCATCTCTCGACCATTGAAGCTTTACTGTGATAACTCAGCCGCCGTTAGTTTCTCGAACAGTAACAGTTCGACTGGCGCTGCTTTATATCTTGATACAAAGTACTTGTTCGTACGTGAGCGAGTTGAGGAAAATAAACTCTGTATTGAGCATATAAGTACTAAGAATATGCTTGCGGATCCGATGACTAAAGGTCTACCTCCTAAAATTTTCGAAGAACATATTTCGAAGATGGGGTTTTCTAAAGACCTTATTTAGTTGCATATTATACTTACTTACATTTAATAATAAAATTTCCTCATTGTTTTGTTTTGTTCATCTCTGAATGTGTCTATGCATGCCTAAAGACATGAAGACAACATTTATATACAAATTAATGTTGAGGGCTTAATTGTCGATTTGATCCTTAGCTTATTTAAGTTTTAAATTTGGTATTGTAGCATGATTAATGGGGGTCTTGAGTTGAATATCAATTCAATGACTGTATTTCTCTGCTGCAAGTTCCGGTTTAGAACTAAAATGGGTATTAAAATCTGATCGGACTTATCTAGTACTCATCATAAATGATTACTCGGCCAAGTGGGAGAATGTAGGACACGATTTTATTATGTGGCCTGAGTTATCATTTATCTAATTAATTGATCATTGACCTTATAAATATCCTGCGTATTTAATTGATAATTATTTGATGGACGTAATTATCCTTACGGCCTGATTAGGGTTTCCCCTTGGGTGTATATATATAGAGGTCATGAGACAGAGGTGAATACACCAATCTTACGCTTCCCTTTTCCCTCTCTATTCTAGTGAGTCTCATCCTCACTTTAGCCATCATAACAATACACCCTAAACGGGAACTCGATCTACATCAGAATCATGGTCTCATCACTCACTACGTTTTCAGGTTTATCAGGTGCACATAATTTAATCTCTAATTTATATCTCATGTTAAAGGATTGATTAACAAACAATATTTCCTTCCCTGCTACACTGCTACTACTCTCTCCTTCACCTTCAATTCCTCACTGTCTCATCTCTCCTTTAATGATGGTTGCTTTGGACATCTCAAAGCACCATGCCCCACAACCATAGTTTCTCTCTTCCTTTCTTCAATAATTCCTCTCTATAATATTATCCCATATGCATATTTGTACTCCCAATCATTAGCTTCAAGGAATATACAACTTTATTAATTCCCGTGAAAAAAAATAACCAAATAGGTCACTAGATAAGGGACGGAGGAAGTACAAGATAAGTGGTTAATTCAAGGGTACCTTAGGACTTTCAATAAATAAAGTTAAAAAAATAAGGGTATAATAGTCTTTACATACTATTCAAAAATAGATAAATGAACAACATATATGATATATATCATCCCTTATCTTCAACTGACATAGAGAAAATCCTTAGCAATCTTTGTAAAACACAAAAAATAATATACACAAAAAAAAATGTCAGCTAAAGGTAAGGGCGAAGTGGGTAATAGAAAACCCTGCACGGAAGGTTTCGTGATTTTTTTAATAAAATATTTTTTTGTTGGTAATATTAGTGACGGATCCAGGATTCAAATCAGGGGTAGCACCGAACCCCCAAAAAAAATAAAACAGATTAGTCAATCGAACAAAATGGGTTAAATTTTATATAATGCGTTTTGGTGTCATAAGTATATTCCTTAAATTTAATGGTGTGATACGTTTTAAATTTTATATTTTACTGGATATGATTGACACATATGCCAACATAAAATTTAATGGTATGATTGACACACATACATCACATACATCAATCATACCGAGTAGGAGTAATTATTTACCATTAAATTTTAAATAATTATTTTAATGGAATTTAATTTCTTACAAATACGGAGTAATTTATATTATATATCAAAATATTACAATCAAATTTTGTGTTGTATATAAGAAAAAGATTATCACATAGGACTTTTTATATAGTACTCGTACATTTAAATGTTGAATAAATTTTGT